AGTCAGTGTGCCAGCTCGGGCTTCATTGTTCTTTTATACTGTTGCATAGAGGTAAACGACAGGTTGTTTCTTTGTACGTGAGAGAGCTGCAGACTTTGTTTCCTAAAGTGCTTCTACCCACCAGCTGAAGCGTACCGGCAACAAGGTCCTGCTCAAGGGTGGCACTTTGGAGGACGCCATCACAGCTGCTATCACAGCCATGAATGAACCGAAAACCTGCAGCACCACAACTCTACGGCGATACCTTTTAGACGCCAACAAGGACAGAAAGGAGTACCAGTTAGGTAAGTTAGGTAATCCTACGTGGCTCAACAGGATTCCTGAGACCGATTGCACTACATGGACATAGTAAGGGTGCCTTATCTACACACGCTGCACCATCTGAAACTACAACTAGACACAACACTCGCTTTCTCTTTAAACAAATCACAAGAAATGCAGCAGGTGAACCCTTTAAACCTGGTTCTTATGACTGAGCCCTTCAGCCTTCTGCAATGATTTTGGTGTTTTGCTAGTAAACTATCCCCTCACTCTTATTTTGAAAGTTAATTTGCTGCTAGCCATGTTTCATTAACAGCAGACTGACGGGTCGCTGTTGTTGAGGTTCTCAGTGTCATTCTGCGGTCTCTCTGTTTTGTGGACTTAAACTCTTTCACCGTGAACTGCAGCTGCAGACGGTAGTTCTTCCATATTATCTGAGACCCATTCAGAACCTGCAGGCGGTGGAGAACTGAGCTGAGTTCATCACCATCTGCACAGCATATCAAGGACTACCGTCACCAGCTGCTGTTCAGGATGATGGAGGATCTGCACGACTATCTGATATCTGCAGCTGATTAGGACTATAATTTCTTTCTTTCTTTTTTTTTTCTTTATTAAAAAATTAGCCAGCAGCTCAAACACACATAGCACAAGTTTCATTTAAAACTTTTTTTGCATCAACAATGGCGTCACCAGCAGAACTTTTTTTTTTCTCTCTTCTCTTTAGTGGCCAATCTTCGGAGGACCCTGACAAAGTGTAAAGTACTCGGATGGATGGAGCAGATTACTGGTCACGGCTTCAACGGGACCTACCAGCTGTCGTTCCCTTTCTACCCGAGGTATTTCACTTGCATCTGGAAATCCCCGACCCTTTAATACTTAATTTATTTTTCTTTCTGTCTGATAAAGGAGCTTTGTCTGTGCAGCTTCTGGAATTCTTTGTTCTTTCTTTTCTTGATGTCTGATCCTTTTTTCTTGTCCCCTCCTTAGTCCCACCATCCTGTACCCAGACAAGTTCAAAGAAATTCCAAAGAAAGATGCTGCACCTCCGACCAAGCGAAGGCGAACAGTTGAATCTTCAGACGAAGACGAGGAAGAATCAGAAGAAGAGGAAGAGTCTGAGGATGAAGCCCCGGCCCGTAAGAGGTGCATATACCTGTTGCAGCTCGACTCCTAATTACATGCTTGTAGTTAAACGTTTAAAGATGGGTCCTACTCCATATATCAGTCCAGTCTTTTGTAATGACAGCCATCCATCCCACGATGATTAACAATTCAAGTGGAGAATTGTTTTTATTTATTTATTTTTAACAACTGCTTTTTGTTAAAACGACTCTTAGGAAACCTCCGAAGAGGCCTCCACCAAAGGCTCGTCGTCCTCCTCCAACCAAGAAATCTTCGAGCGCTAGTCAGTCAAAAGCTAAAGGCAGAGGACGTTCGCTCGCAAAGAAGTCTCCAGCCAAGAAAGCAGCATCTTCGGCCAAGAGCTCGGGAAAAAAACAACCAGCTCCTAAGAAGGAATCCGAATCGCCATCTAAAGCCACACCTGTCAAGAGAGGCGCCCCTGCAAAAAAGCCCAAGACACCAGCTGTTAAAAAGCTAAACAAAAGGGGGGCCAAGCGACCTGTGTCCAAGGAGTCGCCCCCCAAGGAGCCTACAGCCACAAAGGAGACGACAAGGAGCGGGTCCAAGCGCTCCAAGGCCGAAGAGTCGCCTCCTGAGGCGCCTGCAGCTAAAAAGCAGGCAGCCAAGAGTGGATCCAAACGACCCGCAGAGTCGTCCCCTGCAGAGCCCGCAGTGAAAAAGGGGGCCAAGAGCAGCAAGCAGTCTGCTCGCAAGTCTAAGAGAGGGAAATACTGAACCCAGGAGCGTCTTCTACAAACTGGGCTTAATATCCAGCAGTCTGCCGCTTTAGTTTCAGTGCTTTCTCTCTCTTTATATCATTGTTTTCTCCCTCTTTATGGGGCAGTAGGGTTTTGTTTTTTTATTTCGATTGTAGAATAAGAACCTTATCCTACCAGTTAATTGAACTTTGAGAGTTTCTGAATTTTATTTTTTAATCACAGTGTGTAGGAAAGCTCCGTTAGTGTTATCGGCAAGGCTGCCGTCTTGGGAGACTGTAGGAACATCAAGCATACTTTAAAACTAGAGCCACGTAGCGACTTCGGTTTTGTTATGTTTTTCTTTTTCGATTTTTGTTTTTTGGTTTGTTTTTGTTTACACATGTTCCTCGTGTACTCTGTAGTTGCTGGCAGCACACATTCCTAATCTCAAATCAAAGATCAGTGTTCTAGAAGGGTGAAAACGGCGTCAGTTTTATGTTGAAAAGTGGGTTTAAAAGTTCAAAAGAGTTACTAATGTTGTTAGTACTTTATAAAAGACAGAAATTTGAAATTTCTGTGTTTTGTCCCGGGATTGAATCAAAATGTAGTCATGCAACTAATGCATACAAATCTGAACTGTAATCTGTGTTCCTCATTTATGTAGTTTCCTTCTTAATTATTATTATTATTATTAACTATAATTTATATTTGGTTATTTAAACAGATATAGCCCCCCTGGAAAAAAAAAAAGATTAAACCTGCAGGTGCCAAGTTGAGGATAAAATACTGTTAGTATTCAAGTCACACTGAGGGGAAAATGTCTTTTTGAGGTGTGTGTGTGTGGGTGTGAGTGTGGGTGTAAACAAGCATATACACAAATTGATTTTATCGCTTCACATCTGTATTCAGTACCAAACTGTAAGAAATGTGTGTTGTGGAAAAAGGAGGATAATAGGATAATAACTTCCCTGCATGCATGTATCCCTTGTGTTGTTAAGCTTTTTTCCAAGTCATTAATAAAATGGCTATATTTGTAGACTGTTGCAGTATTTATTTATTTTTATTTAGTGGGCAATGAAAATGTCACATCTCATAGAGTGCCTTTGTCCCATTGATGATGAAAATCTAATTATTACAGCAGGAAGGTAGACAATTCAGAATAAACGGATAAAACTTATAACTAATGTTTTACAGCAACAGAAAAAAAAATTCTATATACGGTAGAAGAAATGTAATTAAAATTTATGTATATATGATATATTTTCCCATCTTTAGATGCATAGCAGCAGTGTTGCACTTTGATTTCAGTCCCCAGCGTGTGCATGTGGTCTCCTGTTTGTAGAGTCTGACAGCAGCTTAAAGGAAAGGGCTCTGTCTCATCTTCAAGGATGCAGTGGCCTGTCACTGAAGGGCTGATGATTAGTGCTGTCAGAGTGTGCTGCACGGGGTGGGAGGTGTTCTTCAACAGGACTGACAGTTTAGCTGCCATTATCCTGTCACTCACCACCTCCACTGGGTCGAGAGGTCGTCCCAGAACGGAGCTGGACATCTGAATCGGCCTGCTTCTGTCCTCAGAGATGCTGGTGCCCCAGCAGACCGCAACTTAAAAGATGGCGGATTGCCACCAGAAGAGGTTTTCAGGAGCTCCATCTGAACTCCAAAAGATCTTAGTCCTTATAGCAGATACAGCCCCCTCTATCCTTTCTTGTAAAATTCAGCAGGTTTTCCTCCTGATTGTCTTTGTCATTAAAAACCCCCCACAGAAAATGTAAATGGTTAGCATAGCCGTGGGGACGGGCTCAGAGAGCATATGCAGTACATTTAATTAAAGTAATTACACCAGGCCATTGCTAGCGCACATCGAGCAAAAATCTTCAAGACTGAAATATTTTCCACTTACTTTAATTCCCAGTTATTGTTAGATCTTTAATAAAGAAATGCTACATCATATACCCCTCTTGCATGTATGCAAAACTTTTCCCCACAGGGCATTTGCTTTTCTATGTGGGCAGCTGTAAATTAAAGTCAAGCTTCACGTTGTTGAATTTGGAGCAGGGGCTTCTTTCTAGGTCAACACTCTCTGTCTGTGAAGCTGGGGTCCCAGGAGTTTTGACTTCATGGCAGGCTTGAGCCATGGTGGCTACAGGTTGTTGCTCAACATCCTAACCAATTTCCTCTCATCTGAGGGGGACAGTTTGGGTCTTCTTCCAGACCTTGGCAGTGTGACAATGCATCCAAATAACTTATACACACGTACAGCAGTTTGAACTGATGATCTTGTAATCTGCAGTTGCTTCAAATTTGCTCCAAGAGAGCTTCCCAAATCCTATAAATTTACAATTCTCCTTCTTAAATCTTCACTGAGTTATTGCTTTCCCATTGCTCTGAGTGTTGGTCAGTATCCTGTCAAAGAAATCCTCCTTTTTAAGGAGAAACTACTAAAAGTAACTACATTAAAAGTTACCGGGCCCACAATGGGTGTATGTCAGCTTTTAACATGTATAACCAGAAGTATAAACTGTAGATAAAAAGTGGAGAAACAAGTATTCTGAGCGTTTACTTAAGCAAAATGTATATTCCCACGTATCATTATAAAGGTTTTAAATACTACTGAATCACACTGACTCATTGTGTATCGCTGTAATGTTGCTGCACCTTAACTTTTTGTATTTTTATATCTGTATCTAATAACACAACATAGCATATGATAAAATCTGCAAAATAATAAAATGGCACGGCGTACAAATTACAGTGTTATGACCCCAAATATCTTTTCTGAAGTAAAAAACGAGTACTATCGGGAGGAGGTGTGTGTGTGGTGGTGGTGGTGGTGGGGCTTAAAATAGATTTAACTTTTGGACCCAAAGTTCATCTAGACACAAGTTTTCCCATGCAGGCTGCCATCTTGGTGACGCCTCCAGTTATTTCTCGCAGGTTTTACCTAGTGGACTTTCAGTGCACAGCTTTTAACTATAAATTAATATCGTGTAATTGTAAAATACTTTTATTGACACATACTGTTATTTTTGGTTTTGCTGCGTGAGCTTGAATTCTTGCGCGCTGTGTGGGAATGTCAGGCGGAGTGGACAGAAACCGCTTCAGGGGGAGGGTGATGTGATTCATTGAGCCATTCCGTAAGTTTCGTGTTTTGGTTGATTTAGTTCTCACGTACACCCTCTTTTCTTTCTTCTCCTCCTCCTCTTTCCCCGCCTTTCTTCAACTAAACTCCGCCTCGGAATACCGCTGCACACCTGGGGGTAACGGCTGCAGGTAAAAGTGTGACGGTGGGGGGGCCTCGGTGTGCGTTTGGTCGGCGTGCCAAGAAGACGCGGAGCGGTCCGAGGGTGAGGAGGTGGATGAGGAGGGTTTAGTTGCGACTCTCAGGGTGAGTTTCTGTGATATAAAGGTGCTGTTGTGACCTGTGCGCTCAGGTGGAGACGCCCCGGTGTTGCCTGCCGCTGCTGCTGGACTCCACAGGGCGGAAACCCTTCAAAAGTTTTGTCTTTTCACGCGTTTGTGTCTTTCTGGGTTTCTTTCGGGGCATTTCGTGGCGGATAATCTCAACAAAACAATCGAGCCTCTCGTAGCAGCAGGTTTATCTGCGACGTTAATGCGCCCAAAGAAGCGTCTTCAAAATCAGGCTCTTGCGACTGCTACGCTTATGTTTAATACCGACTCGTCTTTCATGTTTCCCTGAGTATTAAGAGGATAGATAAACGCACATTCAATTTAGTCCATATGTTTTCAACTTGTTTTTAAATCTCCTTCACTCTGCTGCTTGGAGTCCTAAATTCTCGGGACTTCAAGTGTTGAAATCTCGTATTTCCACAGGGCACGATGGGTGAGGCACCGGTCAGAGAAGATAGTACAGTGACACGATCAGCAGAGGTATGTCTGGAAATATGACTTTGCATTTGTGTGTCTGTGTGAGTGTTTGCTTAACCTCCTGTCTTCACTGGTGAAGTATGTAGGCTCATTTCCTGTGGATGATAACTGTTTGGATGACCAGATTAAGCAGCTGCACACACAGTTGAAGTCCCTTAAAGTGAGTCTTTATCTTTCTATCTAAACCTACGAATGTGATGATAACGACTGTACCTAATGCAGTCCTGTATTCATTTAGGCATGCAAGACAAGACGGCCAGTGTCCCTAAAGTTTTCCATTAAAGGTGTGAAAATGTATAATGAGGATGAAACGGTAAGTAGAGAAAATGACAGTTAATTTGTTTTGACCTGTTTACGTCGCTCTCCTTTTCGTGCCTTATTGCTCGCGACCTGTCCCTGTGTGCAGATCCTCCTGATGGCCCACGCTCTGCGGAGAATCTCTCTTTCCACGGCCCGACCCGTCGATTCACAGTTTGCCTTTGTCGCGCATAACCCAGGCTGCCCAGACACCCAGCTCTACTGCCATGTCTTTAAAGCAAGGCACGCCAGAGCAGTAAGGATTCTCCATTGTTCTGTTATAGTTAGAGCTCGCAGTAAATATGTATTTAAGGCTTTCTGTTTACTCACAAATAACAACCCTGCCGCTTTCCCATGCTGGACAGAAAGTCCTTCTGTCAAGCACAGTATATTTTAAAGTGTGTGATTAAAGGTGTTCCAACTCTGCTCACAAAAAGCAGAAACAATGACTGACTATACTTTAGCTGCAACCCCATTCAAGGTTATCTCTGTGTGCACCTATGGGCTGCTTCTGGCACTACTTGCACTCGGTGGAAGGCCTGTCCTGACTGCTTGAACATGTGTGTTTTGTGATATCACCATGTCGCTTACCAGACATTTCAAACTATTATATGCCGAATCATTACCAGAGGTGATGATGGGCTACGACCCAGAAATCAAACAATGCAAGAGTTTTGTTTGTTTTTTTCTTTCTTTTTTTCAAAATGCATAATATGTAACTTCTCCAGACAGAGGAAGAAAATTTGACATTGTGTGTCCACTCATGGTGCACTGACCGGAGGTTTCAGGCCAGACCAACACATTTTTGCTCTACTTGCCAGATTTGGCTCGCTGGGACTTCACCCTCCCTCTTCCCTGAAACAGAAGTCAACTTGAAGGAGCATTGTTTTATCTCAGAGGAGCAGAGCAAAGGCACATGTGCAAGTGGTTAAAACAGAACTTCCATCAAGCGATCTAAAAAGAGTTGGCAGCATTGTGATTTTGCTTTTTACTTGTGTCGTACTTAGCAGTTTACTTCGTCTTCTTTCTATTCTCTGTTTTTCAAGTCTGTTATCATAGAAAGTTTCCAAGCTATATGTTTGCATAGTTTTGGTCCGTGCCTGAAATAATTGCGGGGTTTTGACAGCGATTCTTTAAAAGGAATAAAATGGTCACGTGTTTAAATGACGTGAGAACGAGAACAACCTTTTAAAGTTTACATTAGAGGTTTGCGTTAATGGTGTCACTGAAACTGAGTCCATATTTCCGTTCTCGTTATCTTGATAGGCAAACTATTTTAGAGCAGCCCAGAGTAGGGAAGTAATGCCGATATAATATAAAGCTAACATTTCTGTTGTTATCAGAAGCCTTTGACACATTAGAGGAAATTAAATCCAATAAATGTGGTCAGTACTGAACAGTTTGCCATGGTAACTCCAAATAAAACCCTCCAGTGTCACACAGGTTTGGACTAGAGAGTGATGGGAAATGTGCTTATTGATCTTTGATAACAAATTCCTTTCTGTGCTAAATTCAGATCTGATCCCAACCGACTGTTGTATCTTCAGAAGTCACCCTTGAAGCCAAGCTTCCTGTGTGACACAATAATAGGTGCCTCTACTGGTGGATCTGGTAGCATTCAATTGTTTTGAGCCAGTCTCACTGCATTGTAGTTAGCAGCGAGACTTGTTCCAACATGGAGAGGTCGGCAATACTATGACACTGCAATTGCCTCATCTCTGCGAGATGCCTGTGCTTGACTAAACGGTGTCAGCTGTGGTGTTGAAGCGCTAAGTTTTTATCAGTGCCGTTGTACTGTTAATAATTTACTTGATGAATGACTGCAATATGACACAGAATAACACCGTTTCAGTTTAACTGCTAGGTTTTCTGTATGCACCCTTCCTCCTTTAGGCCCAGTTCCTGAACCTGCTGCTGTGCCGCTGCTTCCAGCTGTCGTACTTGGAGAGGCATCCAGAAGAGGCCCAGATAGACTCTGCTGGCTCACTGCCTCATCGCAAGCCTTCACTGCTCAATCACGGCTTTCCTCTTAGTGTCAGCGCCCTGGTTTCATTCAGAAGAGCTCCTTTTGGTGGATTATTACCTGGCACTAAGGTTTGGCTATTCTTTTTTTTCTTTTTTTAACTTCACCCAAAATCTCATGGACTAATTTAAATGTTAGTTTGTTAGTAAATGTTGCAATGGTTTTGCCTCTTTATATATTGTATTTCAATGTAAGTTTACCCATGTCTTCAAAAATTACCGCACCCAAGTTTTTGCACAGCACTGCAGTTTCAAAATGTATGCCTCAAAATTTAAATTATCTGTACAAACTATGTGATGTTTTCTCTACAGAAAACTCCAAAGTCTTCAGATGACCAACAAAGCAGCCAAGATGAGGTCTTTCCCATCTCCTCTCCCTCCCTGATGCGCAAGAAAGTCATACGCACCAAAGTGCTGCGCTCTGGTGCTTACCGCTCCTTCACTTTCACGCCACGCAAACAGCGCACCATTCAGGATCAACTGAGTGTAACTCAAGGTGGGCCGAGTGTTCACAGAGCGCTATCGAGGTTCAAAGAATTGATTAGGTAAAGGGACTTCATCAGTATTTGGTGAAGGGCAGTCACTGCTGTGGTGTCAGGGCTTTTCTTTGTTTTGTTTTTTTTATTTTAGTCTGCATGATGAAGTGATTTCATCTCATATGGGTAATTGTGCATTTCTACAGCGCTTACATTTTATTTCTGTTACTAATGTTCCTTTTTAAAGTTGAATATGTTTCTTTGTTTTTGAGGGGTTATTTCATCATCATCACTGCATAGCGTCCACTGAGTTGAGATCATCTGGGATGCTTCTTCCCCATCACATGGTGATGCAATATTCCACCTTTATAAAATCTAACTTTACATTATTTTTCTTATCATATCAAAACCAGAAAAGGATCTAGACAAGTTGCCAGCGAGGCGATCCCGGGCTCCAAGCTTGTCTGAAACAGAAGAGGCACTAGCTCAGGCAGTGTGGTGTTGGGCTGGTATCGCAACGTTAGTATATCGCACATCAAATACATCTTTACATTCATAAGTGTCACTTTCCTATTACTACATCTGTGATTTTCCTTCTTGGTATTGCAGTGAGAGCAGCTATTCACTGCTTGCAGATGATGTTCTGGGATCCTACCTTTTGTGCCAACATCCAAAAAACCCTAAATGTGGCTCTCTAATCATTCGCTTCTCCTCTGGCCCAATCACCCACCTTATTGAAAACACCCGTAAAGGGAAATTCGTGCTGGAGGTAATTCTTTTGTTGGCTCATATACATGATGTGAAAACCAGATTATGATTAAATCTAATCTCTTTCACTGGTTACTTTATTTTCACAAGCTCTTATATTTTTCATAAATGATAGAAAAGAAAGGGGGTCGTGGGGGGGGAGATATTGAAATATCTGATTTAACGTGGAAGTGCTTTAAATACGCATTCCCTATAATGGCCAGCAGAGGGCGGCAGCTCTAGTTGCAGCGACTTCCAATTAAATTGAGGTCTGTGGATAAAATTGCCCTCAACTCTTTCACTCTATGATGTCAGTAAGAAGATTTGGGGCTCAGTTGGTAGTTTCAGTTCACATTTACTGAAACATGGATTATTTATTTTTTTTACTTTTTATGAAATGTTGATATTAGGAGTGCGGTGGAGAGCAAGGGGTGTTTGTTTCCGTGTGATGTTAAAATGTTATGGTCAAAAACATTAAGCTTGAGGCTATCCTGTACATCAGGACTTTATAGTGGGTGACTTCCAAATTTTATACAGTCTGTTTCTAACTAGAGCCCTCAAGTGGCTTTTTGGAGAACTGCACTGGAGGTTTCCACTTGGCAACCACCTTAATTGACAATATTATTCTCGAAAACCATAATAATTGTTTGTATTTGATTAGAAATGTCATAGTTGATTTATAATCATGTGTAACTGGTGTCCTTTTTCATTTATTTATTTTTATAAATGTAGAAATGCAAGACTGAATTCAATTCCATGGCTGAGCTGATTGAGCACTACACAGAGACTGAGGACGAGCTGCCATGTCTGCTGAGCTATGCTCGGGTGAACCACTGCTATGAGTGGGAGGAAAACGTCAGCAAACAGCAGCCTGTAAAGCTTCAGCCCAAACGAAGCCGAAATTAAAAGTACCCACAGAAACGAATGGATGTAAACCCTGGACACTGGAACATGTGGACTGCCAACCTCAGAGGGCACAAAATAAGCGACACTGGTCATTTCTTTTGCACATTTATCTTTTATCTGTGTTTTGGTGCGGGAAGGTTTAACTGTAAAACAAAGTCACTGTTTAATAGTGTTGGCACTTACTGTGAACAGTATCCATTTCCTAAGAGGGTACTTGTGTGTTAAAGATATTTTGTGGTTTCTGATTTTATTATTTTTATTTCAACATAAGCTTTTAAAAATATACATTTTTATTTGTGCCTATAAAACAGAGGAGCTTTTTTTTTTTTTTTTTTTTAAGACATGAAACTAAGAACCTGAATCTGTAAAGGGGAATTAATCACTGATTACTACACCTGATGGCAAAGCCACACTTTTTCTTCTTGTTTCCTTGTCTAGTAACAATGTTACTGAAATGTAAAACTTTTACTCCTTTTTACTCATATTTTTGTATGCAGTTTGTTTTTCATTGGTCGAGTATAAATGGTACAAAATGATTTCAATCATTCTCTGGGATTGTGGTTATCATGTTGTGTCGTCTTGACTATAGTTGATTTGTTCATAGCTTGCACACCATCTACCTGCACCCCCTACATTAGTTTCACAACAGAAGATTGTGATTATTAGCAAAACATTAAATAACTGAACATAACGTGCATCCGTAGTCTTTCTTTTCTCTTTAAACGTCTGTTTGCTTTATTTAAAATATGTTTTCACTTTTAGTTTCTTGACAGTAATGAAGCATAAAGTAGACTGTTTTTCGCCCTTTGACCCCACTCCGTCCTCACGGAAATGGCCGCGGGTCTGGGCCTGTTACATTCCTCAATGGTTACTTATGGTTGCTAAGCAACCTCAAACGCCTCGGGGAGAGGAACAGAATGGGACAGGACCTGAAGCGATACCTGACGAGATCCGTCCACACTGTACCTGGAGATATTTTTGCTGATCGCTTCTTACTGAACCTCACTGGAGATGTGGGCCGTTAGTCAACTGCTGCTGTCATCTTGTTGTTAAGGTGATGTTAGCCATCGAGGTCCTGCTGTCGTACTTCTAAGTAAACGTTGAGTGTTTGCGAAGGAGACCGGAGCGGCTTTGTATTTTACATTAGTTTGATCTCTTACACCTGCCAGCTGCTCGGTAGTGATTCTTGAGACATGGGGTCAGAGTCGGTGAAGGTGGTGGTCAGGTGCAGGCCCCTGAATGACAGGGAGAAGGCGCTCAGCTGTAAGATGGTGCTGACCATGGACCTGCAGCACTGCCAGTGCTTCATAGAAAAGCCAGGTGCAGTGGATGAGCCACCTAAACAGTTCACCTTTGATGGGACCTACTATATTGATCAAACAACTGAGCAGATGTACAACGAGATTGCTTATCCTTTGGTTGAGGTAAGCTTGATTTTATTACCAGCCTGCAGAGCTGGGCTCTATAAAAGAAGCACGCTTGTCACTGGACACCTTCAGCCTAACATCAGTAGCCTATATCTAATTCCTAATGAATGCAGGCGTCATTGTGAATACCCTTTGCTCACCTCAAAATTAAATAAAATTAAAAATGTCACTTTTACAGGGTGTGACTGAGGGATACAATGGGACAATTTTTGCTTATGGACAAACTGGAAGTGGAAAGTCTTTCACCATGCAAGGGGTGTCTGAACCTGCAACCCAGAAGGGTGTCATCCCGCGGGCCTTTGAACACATCTTTGAGAGCATTCAGGTGTGTCTGTTGACCACAGTGATCTTGTAGCTTGCAACATGCATACATAATATTATGCTCTTAGTTTTTGTCTAGGCTCGTCTCAGCACTGATAGAATAATTATATGTTTTATCTCGTGTGTGCAAGCTAGTGTGCAGAAAATACGAAATTCCTGGTGAGGGCCTCCTACTTGGAGATTTACAATGAAGAAATCCGAGATCTTTTGGGAAGCGATGCCAAGCAGAGATTGGAGGTGAGTCCCTGCTTTTTAGATAAACTAAACAGGCTACACTGTATCAGAAGAAGCCAAATGGATTATTGTTCTTTGGTTAGTACAGCAAGGTGAGTGTGCTGTTTTCTGCACAGTACTGTACCTGTTGCCATGGTGATTTAAACGCACAGTTGATTCCTTAAAGGTCAAGGTGTTGTAACAGGGTGACAGACTAGCTGATTGTGCGTATGTGTGTGCTTTGTGTGGCTGATGAATGCCTAGCTGAAAGAGCACCCAGAGCGTGGGGTATATGTACGGGACCTTTCCATGCACACTGTGCACAGTGTGGGAGAGTGTGAAAGAATCATAGAGAAAGGCTGGAGGAACCGCGCAGTGGGCTACACGCTGATGAACAAAGACTCCTCACGCTCCCACTCAATCTTCACCATCCACCTGGAGATCTGCAGCACTGGTGAACTTATAATATCTTTGTCATCACTATATCTGTTCAGTCTGTGCTGATATTCTTCTTTTGAATGTGATCCTCTTATATCTCCTAATGTCATCAGCACTTTACCATCAGTTATTTTTGTTCTGTGGCACTATATCTTTAAATTTGATAGTATATGAATCTCCTTGTTAATAGTTTGCATATCCTGCCTGTGCTTGCATGTAGTTTTCAAACCATTGAATAAAACATACCAGGTTAATAAAGGTAAATAATAAGGCTTTGTAACAGTGTTGAATGTTGCTTGCGTTTCCTGTGTCAACTCAAATTCTCAGATTCATCTGACCAGGACCATCTACGGGCAGGAAAACTCAACCTTGTGGACCTGGCAGGAAGTGAGCGTCAGTCTAAAACTGGTGCTACCGGCGAGCGACTCCGCGAAGCCACAAAGATCAATCTTTCCCTCTCGGCCCTGGGAAACGTCATCTCCGCCCTGGTAGATGGACGCTCCAGATACATCCCCTACAGAGACTCCAAGCTGACCAGGCTGCTGCAGGACTCTTTGGGAGGAAACACCCGCACCCTGATGATCGCCTGTCTTTCGCCCGCAGACAACAATTATGAGGAAAGCCTAAGTACGCTGCGATATGCAAACCGGGCCAAGAGCATCCAGAACAGGCCTCGCATCAACGAGGACCCCAAGGATGCTCTGCTCCGAGAGTATCAGGAGGAAATCAAGAAGCTGCGGGCGCTCCTCACAGGCCAGCTGAGCACTGCTGACCTTTCAAGTAAATTTTTATAGAAAAACAGCATGCTTTTTTAGCTTAATATTCCTAAATCTACACATAGCCTCTTTTAGATGCAGAGAAATATTTTATTTTCTTGCATGTTGTCTTTCTTTAATTACCAGTGCTATAAAAAAAACACTTTTATTTAAAATGCAGCTCTGCTGGCTGGTCAGTTTTCTGAGTCATCCCCTGCTGTGTCCTCAAGGCCACAGTCCACCCCCACTGAAGAAAGGAAGGAAAAGATTAAAGAGGCAAACATGGACCAATCCCACACAACAATTTATCACTTCAACTTTAAGCATGCATTGTATAAAGAGCCTGTGATTTATGATCTGTGTTCTGCTGTCTGTGCAGGAGTATGAGGAGAGGCTGGCCAAGTTGCAGGCTGAATACAATGCAGAGCAGGAATCCAAGGCGAAGCTGCAGGAGGACATTGCTGCTTTGCGTTCCTCCTATGAATCAAAACTGTCCAGTCTGGAGAAGGCCCAAGTCAGCAGGGGGAGCTCTGTCCCCAAGAATGGTAACAGCACATCCTGTGCCAACAACAGAACAAAAGTTTTCCGCTGTTGGATTCTCCCCATGTATGCTTCTTTGTATTGTGCTGCTTCTCTACATTAGTGGGCGCCAGCTGTACATCCCAGGTTGCTTTGGAAGAACTCTGCATGAGCACTGATCCCATGTGCCACAGTACAGTTGAGGAAACCTCCCAGACTAAGGTAGTGTCCAGCCCCACTTTCCATAAAGATCACTCCTCTTCAAATCATATTTGTATCCTGAAACAAGGTAACAAGGCAATCTTATGTAGGCAAAATGTTGAATTTTATTCCCTCATGTTGGCGAGCAAGCTTTCCGAAAAAGATCCAGATAGAGCTGGACTCTTGGAGTCTTCTGATGCAACTGCACCGGGGCCTCTAGACCAGAAACACGTCCTGGAAAGGTTTGTAGGCTTCTGTTCTAATCATGGAAACTTTCCTTAACATGAACACTTCCTCAGATTCATAGCTATGATTTTATTATTATATATGATATGTCTTAATCAGCCGATCCATCTAATTTCTACTCCTTATGGGTCTGGGTTGTGAGCATCTTCAACACTGTTCACAGGATACTGAACATATTGTTATGATGGTATCTACAATCTTCTTATCACACTCCATGATGAATGTGTCATACTTATGCTTGTGGCTACAAATGGAGTGGATAATCAGATTCCAGCTGTATATTTTTCTGTATGTACTTACCCTTGCATTCTTTTACATCATTGCATTCTTCTGTGTTATTACCATAATCTGGTAATTAGCAGAACAGTTATGTTTAACATATCATACATTGATGGTTACACTAGAATAATATAGCAAGAATTATACTAAGCACGCATCTATGCGGTGTCCTTGGTGTTCAATCTTTCCTCAGACTGCAGCAGCTGGAACAGGAGGTGGTAGGAGGGGAGCAGGCCAGGAACAAAGAGCTGCAACAAAGACAGCGGCAGAGAAAAAAACTTGCTGACCAGAGAAAAGCTCAGCTTGTCCATGCTCTGTCAGAGAACAGCGAGGAGAGCGAAAATGTGCTGCTGAATGTCTACAACTCTATCCAGGAAGAAGTCCATGCCAAAAACCAAATGCTAGTCAAAGTTCAGGGCAAGGTGAGTGGAAGCAGTTCAAAGGAGCTTGCAGCAGATGCAAAATGCAATCTTTCTGTTGGGAGAAAGCATATGTGTTAAGGGTTTTCTGTACATTTCAAGGAGCGATCAGAAAGTTTGGGTTATCCACCCACAGAAATCTATTTCTCCTCCCTAAGATCTCCTTTTCATGCACCCCTGCTCTTGACAAAGTTTACTCCTTAAAAGTCTAATTTTGACAACAGTGCAAGTTCACCAGAATGGGATTGTACATTGCGAATTCATACCACACTTTCAGACTATAAATGCAGACTTGTGCGTTAACATCCTGGGGCATCTGTGGGAGAACATCCAGTGGAAAGAGCCTTAACAACAGCATCACCACACATTGAAAAGGCAACAGTTTTTCGGCCAGAAAAACCCAGTCTTTGCTCACCATCTTTCCTACGACTTTGTACAATTCTCCAAAATCAAGTTAAAGTATTATACTCCCTGTTTTGAAACACTGGGCAAGATCCAACACTCATTGTAGAGGCACAAGTACAATGGACTTCCAAAATAGTGATACCAAAATAACAGCAGCGGTCTGGAGATGTATTAGAAGGTGACTTTGACTAAATTTAAATTGGGCAATTTATTAACTTTTTTAACCTGGAAAAATTAGGTTATCTCTTCAGGGATTTACTAATTTGGTGTGTTAAAACGGTTCTCTCTTTGAATGTCAACCCCTACATATGACACGTTTTTAACAAGTGGGTTTTAGCTAGTTTTCTCATGAATAACATGCTTCGTCACTGTTGCAACAGCTGAAAGCAGCCAAACTGGAGATCCGTGACCTGCAGGCAGAGTTTGAGGTGGAGAGGAATGACTACCTGGCGACTATACGCAGGCTGGAGAAGGAAGGGCAGCTCCTGCACAGCCTGCTGGAGCGTATGGTGCCTCTGGTGCGCCGTGACTGCAACTACAGCAACCTGGACCGCTTGAAGAAGGATGCTGTCTGGGACGAGGACAGCGCCACCTGGAGACTGCCAGATGTGATGGTGCAGAAAACAACACTGCCTTCAGGTGGGGTATAATACGGTATGTAAAAAAAAAAAGAAAAAAAGAAAAGTGAAAGCTTTTTTTTTTTTTTTGACAAGACAGTAAATCTTGTTTGTTTTGCAAATTACTTTCCTTAAATGTTTATTAATCACATTCTTTTTCTTAGCAGTGACTCCAAAAGCTTCAGCTCGCAGAGGCTCAGGTTCTGATGCTGGAGAAGCATTTACGGTGTGTTTGCATTTCATGCATAGGCTTTTACTTGACATACACACATTCTAGCAGGATTAGAGGCCATTTGATGGATTGATTGATTGAATCTTTATTTTGAACATGTTGAAAAAGTACAACAAAATAGAATTAAAAGAGACAAATGAACAAAGCAAAACAAAAGGAAAACGAGCAACCACAACTCCAAATAACTTTCATGTTCAAAAAGGAGCAGGAAGAAGCATAAGCTTATTTAATCCCACCCCTTTTCCACTATCTAGTATCAATAGACTACAGAAATACCTCCTTGCAATTACATTATATGTCATGTGTATTTTTTTTTTCATTTTTTAAAAATATATATACATATATGTTTCTATCTAGCCATACATACGTATATACACATATGCACATATACACATTTGCAATAACCCCATTAACACCTCAAGGATACACAACCTACAAATATATATACCCATACCAACATACCCGTGCACCCGCACACACATGAAAATATTAGACAAGAACACCCTATCAAATCTCTACCTTTTCCCTGTACCCTGTAAAAACCATATCCTTAAACCGCTTTTTAAACTGCGCCATGCTCGGACATTGCTTCATATCTTTACTTAGTCTGTTCCACAGCTTCACTCCACACACAGAGATGCAAAAACTTTTTAATGTTGTATGGATACGAGGATGTTTTAAATTTAATTCCCCCCTCAAATTGTATCCCCGTTCCCTTTTAGAAAACAGTTTTAGAATATTGTCAGGAAGCAGGTTATTTATTGCTTTATATATAATTTGTGCTGTGAGAAAATGAACCAGATCTGTGAATTTTAGAATTTTTGATTTTAAGAATAGTGGATTTGTATGATCTCTGTAACCAGTTTCATGGATTATCCTTATGGCCCTTCTTTGTAATATAAAGATTGATGATAGCGAACATTTGTAAGTATTGCCCCAAACCTCTGCACAGTAATTCAAATACGGTGCAATCAGGGAACAATAGAGAATGTGGAGTGATTTGTGATCCAGAATGTGTTTTATTTTACTCAAGATTGAAACACTTCTTGAAATTTTGTTATGTATATGATTTATATGAGACTTCCAGTTTAATTTGTCATCTATAATCACACCAAGAAACTTATGTTCAAGTACTCTTTCAATTTCCACACCATCTACATGAATCTGCATTTGTGCATTTCTAAGGGAATTCCCAAATAAGATTATTTTAGTTTTACTTAGATTTAGCGATAGTTTATTCCTGTTAAACCATTTTTTAATTTTGCACATTTCTGAAGTAATTGTATCCAGCAGCTCCTTTAGATTCCCCCCAGAACAAAAAATATTTGTGTCATCTGCAAATAATACTAATTTTAATATATCAGATGCCTTACAAATATCATTTATATAAACAATAAATAATTTTGGACCCAGTACAGAGCCTTGTGGAACACCACAAGCAATGTCCAAGCATAATGAGGAATGGACACCCAGCTTCACAAATTGTTTCCTGTCACTTAAATAATTTTTCACCCATTGCAGTACAACCCCCCTAATCCCATACCGTTCCAGTTTATTAATTAATATGTCATGATTGATTGTGTCGAATGCTTTCTTGAGATCCAGAAATACTCCAGCTGCATACTGTTTCTGATCTATAGCATTCGTAATCTCCTCAATTGATTCGATTAATGCCAGAGATGTTGATCTTTTTGATCTGAATCCATATTGACTGTCAGAGAGTAATTTATATTTATCTAAGAATTTGTCTAATCGTTTATTAAACAGGTTTTCTAGGATTTTGGAGAATTGTGGTAGTAAAGAAACAGGCCTGTAATTTGTGAAGTGGCGTCTATCCCCAGTTTTATACAGCGGCACAACTTTAGCTATTTTCATTTTGTTTGGCACTTTTCCCGTCTGAAATGATAAGTTGCAAATATATGTTAGAGGTCCTACAATTCCTTCAATGACCTTCTTGACGATTTTCATGTCAATATCATTACAATCAGTAGATGTTTTATATTTACACATGTGTACAATGTCAATTATTTCTTTTTTCCTCCACTGATGTGAGGAACATTGAGTTACGGTTCCTATCAATCAGGTTTTCACTACAGTCTACTGATGGCAGTGACTCAGGAATTTGTTCTGCCAGTTTTGGTCCAATATTTACAAAATAATGATTAAAGCTGTTGACCTTATCAGCAGTGTTTTCCATAATATTGCCATTGTCGATAAAGTATTGAGGATAACTTTGTTGTCCAGAATTATTTTTAATGATACCGTTTAAAACATCCCATATTCCCTTCATATTATGTTTATTGTTGTTCAATATTTTACTATAATACTCCTTTCTACATACACGTATAATATTGGTCAACTTATTTTTGTATTTTTTATATTTATTTTCAGCTTCTTTTGTTCTTTGTTTTAGGTATTCCCTATAGAGTGTATTTTTCTTTTTACATGCATTTTGTAAACCCTTGGTGATCCATGGTCTATCTGAATATTTGTGCTTTCTGTTGTATTTTATTGTTGGACAGTTTTTATCGTACAACTCCATGAATATTCTTAAAAATATGCCATATGCAATATCAGTATCAGTTTCTTTGCACACATTATCCCAGTCCTAATTTAATAGATCATCCTTAAGTGCATTCATAGTTTCTTCTGTCCATACACGTCTGTATCTCAGTTGTTCTTCATGCTGATTTTTCTTATAATTAGTGTCATAAACTGCAAAAACTGGTAGGTGATCACTGATGTCATTAATTAATATTCCGCTCACAATGTTGTTTTCCATATTGTTAGTGAAAATATTGTCAAGTAAGGTGGCACAATGTGGTGTATTTCTGCTAGGCCGGGTTATTTTAGGATGTAAACTCAAACTGCACATAGTGTTTAGGAATTCGTCGGTCATTTTATGCTTTTTCGGATTCAACAGGTCAATATTAAAATCACCACAGATAAACATAACTTTTTGATTTGTTTTAGAGAATATTTCCTCTATGAAGTCATTAAATACTTGAATACTAGAGCCAGGTGTTCTATATATACAGCTAATTATTACATTTTTCCTCTTTTTCCTTATAAATTTCAATTGTTATACATTCTAATAAATTATCAATTACAGTTGTCATACTTTCTACCACCTTGTAATTTAGGTTTTTATCCACATACACAGCTACTCCCCCTCCACTCTTGTTCCTTCTATTTACAAAATTCACTCCAATGTCTTGATTAACTAAAACAGCACTTCATTTCTGTTTTAGCAGGTGGAGGAGGACAGGTACAAGCAAATGCTGGACAGAAGTGACAGTGAGAATATTGCCAGCAGCTACTTCAAGTCAAAGAGGGCGAGCCAGCTCCTCGGAAGTGACACCGCAAAAGCCCACGGTGAGAAAAGAAACTGCGGGCTTCTAATTAGTACATATTACCAGTTAAATTAGTGAATTAGCTCTGCTGTTGAATGCTATTTCATTTTTATTTAGCAACATATTTGTATGCTGTGATCTTGTGTTTCTGCTTTTCATTAGAACCTTACTGGCAGGAACAAAAAATAATCACGTACTACACTTAATACTGTTACAGTAAACTTTTGTATTGCATTTGGGAAGCCTTTTCATTAGGTTATCTCTCTGAGCATTTTAAGTTTTGGCTTCTTTTTTACCTTTTTTGTATATTTTATATTTTTACTTATTGAGACCATTTAGTTTTAGATTAGTTAGATTTTTCTTCTTTTTCACTTTCTTACTTTTGTTTAGTTTTTACTGTTGTCTGTCTTTTCTCCTGCTGCCGTCCCCTCTCCTCCGCTAGTTAACGTGGCAGGCCACCTCTCCATGAGCGGCTCTAACATGAATCTGTCTGTGAGCTCAGACGCCATCCTGCCTCGCCCCTTCCGTCTGGAGTCGCTGGATGTCCCAGTGTCCAACGGTAAAGTGAAGCGCAAAAAAAGCAAATCTCACATCCATAATGAGGCGACTTAAATGGACTGTGACCCACATATTTGCAGTTTTCTACAATGACACTTTTGATGACTCATCAAAAAATAAGTGTTGTATATGTATATCTGACTGTGAATCAGTGTATGCTTTTATGACGGCTGCTATCTAGATTTACACAGGACCCATTTATTGCCGATGTTACAAGTCCATTTGCGTCATGAGTTTTTAATTATTAATGTTAATTTTTAACTCATTGCTACCTACTGTATGATGCTTCCTCGGTTTTTCTTTTCTTTTTTGCACAAGACATAATTTAATGTTTGTTTGAGTTAGGTTCTTTAATATTAAAATATTTGCATTGTAATGTTGCTGATTTCCTTTTTTTTACCCAGCATTTAAAATACTTGTCAAGAACAGATGACATCAAATTAACTGATGTCTCATGTGTTTAATTTCAATTACTTTACAAAAAAGCCATTAAAACTTGACTCCAGTGTATTATAAACAGTAGTAAATAATAATATATAAAATAATATCAGCCTGCATGTCAAACTGTAGTACTCTGCTGTCACAAATGGATCAGGAAAGCTGTTGTCAAGGCAGCAGTATGCTAGGATATGGTTATCTCATATTACACATCATCTCTGGTCACCAGTGTGGGTTTTGGTGTGATGTTAATTAGTAGATTCTTTATCTAAATGCAAATAACATATGTGAGACAGAAAGTTGTTGTTGCAGTTTTTAATCATAAGAATTAAATATTGAAAAGTTTATTATGATGTCAGTCCTCTTAAGGTTGCAGGACATGCAGAAACAAATGCTGTTTAACTCGATCCTTCCTGCAGCTGTGACTATCTTATTTCTCATTTTGATACTGGCTTGATTTCTTTGTCTGTTGCTTAATGTTGCTCGCAGACAACATTAAGCAACAATTAAGACACTAGCAGACAACTGTGTCCGTTTCAGAGTCTGACATCATTTATTGTGGCGACACAATAGACATAGACACGGATACCTTTTGGCAGACCTGCTGCTTTACTGAGCGATAACACAGCTCTAATATCCTTCTGCAATAATTAACCACGAGCTAATCTGGGCTCTTCAGGACCGTTGCATAACAGATATCATGCCGTTCAAATAATCCATCAGGAGAAATTAGAAGTGTGACATGTGAGTGTTACAAGAAAATAGAGACAGGGAAGTGCTGGGCTACTAAGTTTGCACAGAGGTGGAGCTAGAGATAATAGGATTATGGACGAACGGCTGAGCAGGCTTTTCCATCATCTGAGTGGTGTGTAAGATGAGCAGTATGGCTGATAGCCTTTCTGTAACAGGAGAGAGGTAAAGACTGCAGGGATACAGTCATAAAGCTTTGCCTCGGGGATCTGTGGGTTCGCTTATTAATCAAGACATTCAGGCTGAATATAGACAACCACAGCTTGGATTCCCATGTGCTGAAATGTCCTTGGGCAAGACTCTGCCATCACTGATGTGAATGAAGAGTAACAGTAGGGTTAACACTCAAAACCAACCTCATGTATAGTGTTGGTTGTTTTTGCTTTTTGAACAGAGCCAAATGGACTGGTGTAATCTGGAATGTTTATCTGCAAATATTAAGATTTTATTATTTAAAGAGGAGAATGAATTAGGAAATGAATGCAAGTGGCCAAAATGACTTTTCCCATGAAGGTTAGTTACGCTCAGCCTTAGATACAGGTTGAGGAAGTGAGGTGTACCAGTTGAGATCATTCAGACATTATAATGCCTCCTGGACCCCTTGTTTTGGAGGTTTTCTGGACATATCCAACTGGGAAGAAACCCTGTGGAAGACACAGAGCTCACTGGAGAAATTATATACACTATATGGACAAAAGTACAGGGCCACTATAACTTATAGTGCATAATGGTAGTGCGTATCTATGACGACCAGTGCTGGCAATCTCCATCAAAACCAAATGGCTTGCCGTGAACAAAGGAACGTAGCGCTGAGAAGATGCATAATGTGAGTGTAAAACACACATACAGGAAGTACTTGGCTAAGGAAACTCATGGAGGAGGTTTGAAGCTCATTGGTGATGTTTGCACGCAACCTGCCCTAGCACTCTGTGACCTCGATCTGCAATGTAGTCTGGGGTGCTGCTATCACGGCCCAACTTCCAATAAGGAAAAAAAAGATGGCTTAAAATGCAGTATATTAGATAAAAACTTTATTTTCAGTGACATTTATATCAATGGTGGAATAGACACAAATAATTAAATGGTTGTTTTTCGTTTCATATTTTCAGTGTTACACAATGAAGGCTGTGTAACACTCTTTAATCTACTGTACACTGTAAAAAAAAAACAGTAGTAGAAAGAAACTGAAGAACGACTGGTGCATGAGTTCTTGTGTTGGACATAAGTATTGAAAATTATCCTGCAAAACTTGAAAAAAAAAAGCTAGAATATTAAAAGACTGCATGAACTGATCTGGTGCTTTGAGGATTTGCTCTAAGAAAAATCAACATGCAGGCACATTTGTGATTTATAAAACAATGAGTAAGATATCAGTTCTGGCACACCCTTATCCGTGTCTTTGATTTAGTACCTGTGCCAATAGCCAATAGGGTTTAAATTTTATATAACAGAATTTTGTTAGGTTTGCAATACATTAAGATACTATTTTCATACACTGATGCTCTGGATTTAGAAAATTTAAGGTGCAGTTTCTGTTACTTCTGAGTGCATTTTTAATTGTATTTTTAATTAAAAAAAATGTCTTTAGATGACTATGTGTTGTATATTTTAAGTGCAGAACATAAGTGTATGGCCCTTTAAACGCTTCCTCTCCTGCTTTTATTTGACAAAGTGCCGTGTGCCAGATTTCCACTTAACGCTTTAACTCTCTTTAAGCTGATCGTGCGCTTGTGCTTCTTTCTGAGCATTGCATTTATGCCAGCAGGCATCTGCTCTTTCAGTCTTTTAGCAGTCCAAGCTTTTTGAGAGCCTCTTTTCGATCACCTCCCATCCCAGGCACCACCATCACGGTGTAGCCTACTGAGTTTGAGGTTTTCTGGGGTACTGGGGGAGCTGTTGTGGTGGTCCTGGTGGTTGTCACTGGTTTGGCTGATTTGATGCTTTGCGGTTCAGAGGTGTTTCCACTACTTCTACAGTTGTCCAGGGTGGCAGACTGCTCCAGATTAGCCGTCCTCTTCCCCTTGGATTGAGCAGGATGTGATGCAGACCCAGGCCGCTGGTCATGTTTGGTGTACTGACGCAAATTGGCACTGGTCTGCAGAGGCCTGTTATTGGACTCTTTTGGCACTTGAGCATTACAAAATGATTGGCTCCTTGATGGATTACTATTAGCTGGACCTCTTGTAAACTTGTCAGCTGTTACACCCAAGGAGGAGTTAGGTTTGGGTGTAGGCAGTGGGGTTACTTTATCATTTTCTGCCTCTTGGCCTTTCAGGAGGCCCAGCTTCTGCAAAGCTTCCACTCTCACCACCTGGGGATCAGCTACATTCTTGACACTTGAAGAATCTGATATTATAGATTCTTCATTTTGAGTTTTTGCAGATATGTTGGTGGGAAACTTTTTGGGTTTTGGGGGAACAACTGGAGGACCTTTCTTACACTTGGAAACCTCTGACTGGGATTTGTCTGATCTTTGGAGATTTCCAAGTGTTGGGCCTTCCACCGGGGCAGAATGGCGTTTTTCTGAGTCTATAGTATGATCAACTGTTGGGCATAAAGGGGTCTTCTTTGTGGAGGCACTCCTCCGCAAATGTACAAGTGCGTCGTAGGAGAGAGGTCCTCTAGGTAAAGGACCCTCAGCTGTCCTCACTGAGGCTTTTGTGGAAGGAGGTATAACATTAGCCTCTGAAGATGTTGGGCGAAAAACTGCTTTCTGGTTGTCTTTGTATCCTGGTTTGTTGTTTTTAGATGTAAACTGAGGCTTAGAGGAGGCGGTTTTGACTGCAGGAGTGCCTGGTTTAGTACCGAGTACAGAACAGGAAGTACTGCTTGCAACAAGAAGAGGGGTGGGAACCAGGTAGCTGTGCATGGGCCTGGCATCAAAATTTTTGTTGATTGGTTTCTGGTGATTGGTTGATGTCTGTGAATCTGGAAGTCAAACAAGTACACATTTATCACTAGAAATTCTGTACACCTACCTAGAGCATTTCACTAAATAATGTGTCACTAATTCTGCATCTGTTCCCAGAGATTAACTCACCATCAAGGTTGCTTTTGCTCATGGAAGCTGACAGATTAGCCACTTTAGTAGCAAGGTTGCTGGAGCTGGGCAGTTGTTCAGGCTCGTCATTGGAGACTCCGCTGTCCTCCTCAGTATCCAAAGACTCAATAGTCTCCTCCAAAAACATGAGACAGGCCCTCTCCTCAGCAGACAAGTGCTCCAGACTATCATCACTCTGAAACGCATTAAAACAGGGCTTTCATTTAGAAAAGAAATCCACAATGAGAGATAGAAATCCTCTCTAAGAAAAGAAATAGACTTTTAGCTTTTATGTTACAGCTGTTACAAGTATCGTTTTGCCTCACTACTTCAAGTTGTTTCGTATATGTTTTGTGCTATTACTAGTGTACATATTCTTAGATTGAAGAGGGTAAACTTGGTTACTTACGAAGCCAGAATTAACACTGACCACACTGTCACAGCTGCCAGCACTCTCCATGCCATTCATTGTCTCCATTCCGGTGTCACCTGGCCAGGTATCACTTATGGGCATCTTAGTGCCCTACTTATCCACAGTTAGTGACACACCCTGTTGTTTCAATCTGAAATACAGAATATAATTACTATTGAAACTGTTCTTAGCAAAGTAAAAGATTTATTTTTTTTTTTAAAAGGGATATATTAATTATTCTCCACATTTTCCCCTGCTATTAATTCTTTATGGCCCTGTAGACCATTTTCAACAGCACCATAGAAAACACTGTCCTTCATAAGTATCTCCCTTACAAGGTTTTACCCCATAGATGCATTTGTTACCTAGTTTTAACCTTTTGTAGGAATTTCTTAACAGCGTATAAAGGTATCATTTGACAAATGAGTAAGGATGTTTTTCGATATCTTTTGTTTTATAATTCATAAAAAATCAACCAAATTGTTGAATAGAAAGCAAAATAGGTCATATTCGACGCTGTGATAATGATACATCAATGCTAATGACAATCATAGGCGCAGCTAAAACTTTTCCTGCAAAACAAATAAAATCAGGAAATATAAGTCAAGCCATTTTATACGCAAACAGCACAGCATTGACCATTGGGTCTGACCACGTTTCATGTAATTTCTATGTGCTCACATTGTCTGCTAACTGTAAAGGAATTTATTCTCTGGTATGTTGATAAAAAATAATTAAACATCTGTGCAGCATGACATCAACTAAGCGGCACATCTTCCAGATATGAAAGACAGTTTTATCTATAAATGGCAATCACCACCAAAGGACTGTGTTCATATCCAGATCACTATTGCTAACTACCTTTTAAAACAGTCAACTATAAAAATAAGCGAAGCGTACAGCTTCATCAATCAGAGATGAAAATTATTCTGTGGTTATTTGAATGATATTGGTCTTATAACAGTATAACTGTAATCCTGTGTGTACACTATGGTTGAGTTGATGTTAGGTATTTGAGTCAAAACTGATAGATAACATTGTGCACAGAAAATGTATATAAACTTTATAATATCCAAATATGACCTGCATAACTGTGGACTTCATACCTGATCATGCAGCTAAAGAACAGCAAGGGCACAGCTTTATTGTAAGCACTGAAATTGACAAATGCAGGTTATCATAGCTCGGTGAGCTTCTAGCAGATATCTAACTAGTCCTCTTACTACATGTGACTTGGATTACAACCTGCATGCCACTCCTAATCTCTCTTTACCGGATCAATTTCAGAGGGAGTGGAAGGCAGAAGCAATCAGTCTCCTGAAGGCTATATGACACCTGTTTTAAAAAAGCAGTTTCAGCTTTGTATTTGGAAATTTTGTTCAATGTTTCGTTTATATGGGTATAGTAGCGTAGCTGCAATTTGAGAATAAAGGAAGTCCTGTCTGGACCTGGTGAAAAGAAATTCACTTTTGGATAAGTGTCAACACCTGAGATGCAAGGTCTGCCAAATAGGGCAGTGGAGGCACAAAAGCACTCCTGTCCACTGTTCGTGGTTGGCCATGCCATCCCATCCCTTTAAAATTGTAAAAATCCCTATGGCCAGATCAGTACGCAAAGTCCCAGGTCAGGATATGAATCTGAACAATGTAAGCTTAAGTGTTAACGTTTATTGTGATTTTTGACCGGCTTGAAAAACCTTTTCACATTTGTCGTTTTTATCTGCTTATTAGGTCCCAGTCACTCTGCTATAACCCTTACTCTGAAAAAAACAAAACAAATCATACTGTAGATAGATATGAACCCGAAGAACATTTAACAAAGTGTTATCTCTTTAAGTGAGTTACACCTATCCTATCAACAGTAGGCAAAAACAAAAACTGGGCGAGTTTAGCTATCACAAGACTATGATGCACAAGTCAAAGCAATAAACTGCTGTGTCAGATTCTTTGGAAAATGTGGTGCAATGACAGCGTTGTTTTCATTGTGGCTGTAAAAGAGCATCTGGCTAAGTTTTTATTACCTTCGATGAATTCTGTGCAGGATGTTGTGTAATAGGGGTTATTATCATTTTCTCCACTGTACCCAGGCTTCAACCCACTTCCTTCACATTAATTACTGAATCCAAGCCTATCTTTTGTAACTAACATTATTAGCCCCAAACCGCCATAAAACCCCTTCACCGAAAAGTGTTTAAATACCGGTTAAGTTTAAGTCTAACACTTGACAAACAAAACAAAACATAAAATAACTGCCACGAGCAGTAAATTATTTAAATAGCATCCAATAAATGAAAAATATGCTAACTGTTCCTTACCCTATTTACAACAGAGCTTTAGTTTTTAAGTAAATATAGGCGTACCTGTCCGTGCACGGTCGTCTCTCATATCCTGCTCCGCGTGCAACTGAAGTCAAGGTGAGCGCGCAACTCAGAGACACCTGGAAGAGGGACTTTGTCCCTTAAGCTTCTAGCCAATCAGAAGCCACATCCTCCTTAAGCCCCGCGAGTCCTCGTTTTCATTTTTTTTTAAACAAACAAACGTAAACCATTGCTGTCTCTGTCTGTCAGACGTATGCTGCCAGGACGGCTCGTTACTGGAAGTAATTCAAACATTTAATGCTCTTCCTCCATGTATATATGTATTAAAGTATTCTTTATGTTTTTATTTTTTGGGCGTCAGGCTTTGGGTGAGCATTTAGGAAATATCCTCTAAAAAGTGTTGACTAAAAAGATAGCGCTTCACATATTTTTTTCAGTTAACTTTATTATTGTTATTATTATTGTCGTTCTTCTCCTTAATTATTATTAATGTATTTATTAGGAAAGAGAACAGGTGCTGTTTACTACAGTGCTGATTCAAACAGCACAGACGATGCATAGCTAGAAAGTTACATTTCACTGATACTGCACGAGTGATCTGGGTGGGTGTGTGTCGGTGGGGTGGTACTACGTGATTTTAAGTAATTAAGTGATGCAGTTAATCATTACTTGTTCATGCAGCAGTACACCACCTTCAAGCTTTACAAAGGGTCGCTACAGCGTTTAGCTCAGAGGCTATACCACCTTAAAGGCATCCTAAAGGGGCTTCCTATAGTGTCGTGGTATAACACCCACGGTTCGATCCTGGAAGACACAACCAGGTTAAAATTTGCCAAACCAAATACGCAAATACTTCCGAGCCCAATCCATTCAGTTCACTTCCTAATTAAGAAAAAGTTGCAAATTGAGCATGTAGGATCTGGGGAGTGAACAATTTAAGTGTAATCAAAAACTGTTGCCAATTAGTTTAACAAATAAAAAAAGTCTATTTATGCAAGCGCTAACGCACTTTAGTTACCTTATTTGCTAACAAAGCTCAGATGTGGGACACAGCCAAAATCTCACTGCAAGCTGAAGTTAGAATTTCAGCTGGTGTTAACTTCCGTAAGTGGAGTGATTTTTTTCCCTTCTTTTTTTGGTAGCTGTTGTTTGGGGGGGGGGGGGAGCGCTACACTGAACCAGTACATTTCTGATTCCTGCATGAATTGCATCCTTTATGCAAGTCTTGAAACTCACATAAACCAAAATAAGAAACTGTAAAGCTGTAAATGGGGTGTTGTATATGAAATATTTGTAGAGTTAAAGAGGTTTGTAGTGTTTTATGAAACATTAAAATATCACATTATTTAAAAGAAAAACACAACAACTAATTCCTAGGCTGTGTGTGAGCTTTGTGTTTTGTAGCAGTGGTAGCTGCTACTGTTGGTCAAACAGTAAGTAAATTAATCCTAAATCCTATTATGAAAGGGTAGATGTTCCTTAAAATAACATGCGGGTAGTGTAATCCGACAATGATGGCACAGGACTAGGGTAAATTTGCCAGTTGGGATTTATTTTTAGTAGCAATGCACTAGATAAAGTCATAAGATAATAGAGTTGTCACAGTAATATCACAATAATTATTAATTAGCATTATCTATGTTACTTCCCATTTGTATTTATGTACAAAAAGATTCTAACCTTTAAATTTCACACTGCTTCTTTGTCCCCTTGCATCAAACCATTTAAAGAAAAATAGCTTAAAGATTTATTTAAAACCCATTAAAGCATGGCAGCAACAAAGTATCATCTCAGCTTGACCTGTCTCACAAGGGAAACTGAAAACTGTTTAACTCTTTGTTAGTTTGTTTTACCTTGTTCTTCAAGCACTGCAGAATTTCAAATCATTTAGCCATGAGTAAACCCAGTATAGTTAACACAAAACAACTTTTACACATCCTATTTGCTATATTTTTTAATTGACAACACTGAAAAAACAACAACAATCAAGTAAATCCAGTTTATTCTGTAGTGCTTTGTGTGCAACATTCACTGTTATTGTTAATCATGAGAACATGGCAAATACAAAATGCAACAAAGCCATTTCATGGTTTTATCAAGTTGATTATTCAGTTTTTACCAGCGTTTAAAATACCTAAGGTAGATGATGAGGTGGGATAAGGGGGGGGGAAAAAAATCATACAAATAAATTGTTTTGTTTTTTTTGCTTTCTTTAATTGATTACCGTCACCATCCGAATATGAACCAAAGTCAAAGTCCAGTCAAGGCTCCACTGTGAAGCTTTTGGCAACAATTCTGCAATCAAAGACCCGTCAAACACCATGTTTTGCCACAATGAGAACTAACCACAGTTATCAATCTCAAATCTTTGACTTTAAGTTAAATACAAGTGCTTTCTTCATCCTTATAGCCAGTGTATGTCAAAGAAATTAGCAAAGAGATAATGGATGATTAGCTTAAAATGTGAGAACAGACTCCTGTTGTGGGGGAAGAAAATAATTCATACAGTGAAACAGGAGTGGTAGTTTTTATAAAACATACAAAACACAGTAAACTAAATGTACCTTTACTTGTAATACATCCACCCAGAGCTATAAATGTAAGATGGAAATATTTGATGTTGATTAGCAAAGGACATTATGAGCAGCCTTTAAAAAGAAAAAAGATCTTAAAATACTGTATGCCTTACCTTGATTTGTTACAAATATAATGCTTGAATGGTTTTTCAAAGTATGCAGTCTAATTTAAACAACAAAAAACAGTTCTTACAGCATTTCAAACTTGTGCACTACAAAAAAACAAAGAAAAACACTCATCAAAACCTGCGGCACAAATATAGAAAAATGAGCTACAGATTTTGTAACGCGTTTTGTTTACAGCACCATAACTTTTTTTTTGCCTTATTTAGTGAAGCCCACTCACAATCAATGTTGCAACCCCCCCCAAACAAAATAAAGGCCAATTTTGCACTTGCAGTATGATACTGTATTCAAAATTCATACCACCATTGATCTTGTTGACCAGAGCTCAAATCCCCCCCCCAAAAAAAACAGTGTAACTTTGAGCTTAATAATCAAGGGACAAATCATTGCATTTAATGTCTACGATGGACGCAGAGTAACAGAGAGATGCATTGGAGTCTGCAATGAGTTATCTGTTTGTTACGCAATCAGAACAAGCTGTGGCCTATGAAAGCTCAGATTTTTTTTACCTACATTTTGATACCTGGATCTTCTTTTAGTCGTCATATCCTTCTGGATTAAACAAATGGCCAAATTTTGAGTCACCCCAGTGCAGATTCAGAGCATGCAACTCAGAAAATATTGACAATATGAATGATCCATAATTATGCTAAAGTTATTGTACAAACCAAACAAACAAACAAACAAACAAATAAACAAACAAACAAACAAACAAAAACAATGGATACTGAGGAGGTTAGAAGTGTGTCTGATTGATTTTTCATCAAGTAATCCTTTAGAAGAATCCTGCTTAGCATTAACTCAGGCCGCCTATATTGAACAGTTCAGATGTTTAAATTTAAGGAAATTAGTGGAAGAATTACTTACATCTGCCCCCAAAGTAATAAAAACATGCTACATAACCAACATGATAAATAACAGTCAAGCTTGCTGTGCCGTGTTTAAGACAAAAGTGAATGTGATCACATAACTGTGCAAATAATTCTTAGTGACCGTTTTAAAATTCTTTGTTCGCACATCTTTGTTTCATCAAGGGTAAGTTCTGCCAATTTTCTGCATCGATAACACATCCTAAACTGTTTGGTTTATGAACTTGTCCATGAGTGTTCTTAACAGATCGAAACAACAACTAAGAATTTTTTGCATCCTGACCCAGTTTAAAGAGATCTGAATATTATGGTTTCTAACACTGGAGCACTGCAGTAGCATTTCTGACTGTAAGAACTGACAGTAGTTAAAAAGTAATACTGAACAGGTAAGAGGCGGAACACAGTACCTGCAGAATCTCCAAAGATGTTGCCAGATAATGTGAGGTAGAGGATCACAAAAGCAGACAGACCCACAGAGTTGCCAGACGCAGGGCATGGGGGTTGGTGGTTGTTGTATTTGTGAGAGAGGAAAAAGACAGCAAGACTTTCACACTTCACCAAAATTAGCGTGGCCTGTCTCCTTGGCATGCTCACGAGCTTCCTTTTGTCCCACCAAGCCTGTCTGACACACCATGCAGCGCAAGGCAAAGCGGTTAACGTCTGTGAACTGGCGCTTGCGGCGAGCCTCGTCTGCCAGCTCGAGGGCCTGGGCCAGGATTACGTCGTCTGTAGTCGAGAAGATAGTCTGGGGCGGGGTGTCGGATCCGGGGATCTCTTTCTGCAGCGGGTCGTAGTGGATGCCATCATAGATCAGCAACACGCGTTTGTGGTAGCCAGCATCCTCCCCAAATCTGTCTACTCGCACTGTCTGAGTATCCACTACGCAGATCTCACACTGGTAGAACTTAGACATGATGGATACCTCGATGGCTCCTCCCCAAGTGTCATCACGTCTTATCCAGGTGCAGTACCCCTCATTGGTTTTCCCCAGCACCGCTTCAGAGTAAGCTGTGGGGTCACTCGAGACTATCTGGGCAATGAGACCTCTCATTTCAGGGGCACAGGCGGGGTCGTATACGCCGCCTTCCACCACATAATAAACACTGGTGAAGAGGCAGGAGTTATCAGCTGGGACCACTCGGCGTGCCAGCATAGGTGAACCTTCGAGGTTAGGTCCTTTCGTTACAGCGGGACGATCCTGAGGCTTTGGCTTGTTTTTTTCCTCCTCAACGATGAGTGTGTCTCCTGTAGAGGACGACACACCAGTGACAACACTTTTCATCCCAGTCAGACTTTGGTTTAGAAAAGGAAGAAGAAAACACATTGCCTTATGTATATCTGTCTGAATGGTACCTGATTATGTTGCACAGATGTCCCTAAAATATCTATTGCATGCAAATAAATCAAAGACTCAGTAACTCAAAAAGTTCTGCTTCTAATATTTCTGACCACATCCCAAAACATTCCTTTTATTATAAGCAATTAAAAGTTGAAGTTATAAAGACTGCTTATTCTAAAATCATACTTAAATTTTAACCTGTCCTCACAGGTATATAAATTCTTGTATATACCCAGGGTGCCAAATGTGCAGCCTCCATACAATACAATTATATCCGGCCCGTGAGATAATTTCATATGTCAATTATTAAAAGTCCCCTTGGTATGTGGAAGTTGAATCTTCAACCCTGCTGAGAATCCATGCAGGCAGGGGTGGGACTATTTTGATGGGCACACCATGCGGCCAATCACATGCAAAGACAGACTGGGATCATACCATTATGTGAAGGAAGGGGGCAAACCTTCCAAAGACAGCAAGTGTAGCGTACAGATACATTTCAATGATATTGGAGACTTCAAAGCTGAGTGCAGAACTTATAAGATTCGGGGAAGCCTAAAGTGATACCCGTTTTTATTTTCAGTCATTTTCCACTGTGGAGGACAAAAAGTTTCAAACTTGCCCAGGGCTTAAAGCTTGTGTGTTTTCTCCCTAGTAGCAGCAAATGCATAAAAATAAGGCTTTTAGGAAAAATTGCTTCCTTGAAAAAGACTAAATTTACAGTACAGTGATGAATATTACATAAAATAAACTCTATATAAAGCCTCACAGGCCAGAATGTGCACTTGAAGCCATTTATAATTGTTAATATGTTTGATCTGCTGCTCACCACAAACAAGCATAAGCATACATTTTGGACTTTTAACTGTATTCCCATAAATTTTACAGCTTTTCCTACTGATCAAAAACCTCCCTTATGGCTATTCATAGGAAAAGTAACAAACAACTCAACAACCACTGAACAGCTAAAACAGCAGGTAAACTGATTCTGCAAAAAGAAATGCAGAGCATGGATCCCCACATTCACCCGAAATCGCACTTCCAAAGAAATTTCAACAAGAAAAACCTTTAAATATGTAACTTCTTTACATTGACAGAAAGGAGCAGTTTCACTGGTCTGGCCTGCTTACGATCAAAGTGGGCCGTGATGTAAAATGAGTTTGACACCTCTGCACTAGAGCATGTAATTAAAAGTTTTTAATTTGGTCCATGTTTTCTGCACATGTTGGATGCCTGCCAGCATACCTGATTTGATAGGGTAGTCCTTGAGGTGAGCCTCTCCGTTCCGAAGATCAAGGCTGGAGGGTGGGTATCCGACCATTATTTTCTGCACATCACAGGGGATACCAGTCAGCTCCTCCACCTTGCGCTTCAGCTCCTGCACGCAGGACTGATGAGTCAAGCCATGCATCAAGTGGCTCCCATTTTTGGTCTTACAGCGAAGCCGCAACATCCTGCCTGCAAAAAAGGTGATATCACATTAGTGACACTGCAAGTACCAGGTAAGAACTTTGTTAATCCACAATGGTTGTGTAGAGAGCGTTAGATATATTCCACATGTATGTTACAGATGAAGACCATTTCTAACATGTTGGAGTGCTAGACTGCTGCATACGGTGTTAAACCTGCGAATTCTGGCATCCTGTCCAGGGTAGGCCTGTGCGATATGACCAAAATCTCATATCTCATATAAGAATTCTATCGTCCGATAACGATATAAATCACAAAAATGTAACATTTTCTGTAAATTCTGTGAATCTCGGGCAGCTCGACTTGCGGGAAGGGTTTCCAGCTGTGCGTCATGTAGCTGGAGTCCAGTATTTTAACAGATGCATGAAACTATACATTTTTAGACATAAGTTGTAACGGCCGCCGTTTTCTTTGTGAGTATTTATTACACGGCGTGCTGCGGAGGAAAGCCTGTTCTAACGTTTGAGTGTAAGGTTTATTTTTTAGCACCTGGCTGTTCTTTTTTACTTCTCATCCGTAAATAATCTGCTCTTTCACGTGATTCAGTTTATTTTGAAAAGTCTCAACAGGATCTTGAGCTTTATTGTGAAAGGTTTATGTGGAACATAAACAAATGGACACGCGATGGCGTTACCGTTATTGTTGCTAACCACAATGCATAAAAACAGGCGCTTGTCCGTCTGTAGTGTGGTTATATAAAATATAGGAGAACGAGAACTTTAATTAATATAGCCACTACAGTGACCATCAAAGCGATGAAAAAATATTGCCGTAAACAGTTTATTTTGCGACACCATGAAACAAATGATAGCATAAAATGAAACTATAGACTTTTTTATATCGTCATCCGATATATATCGTTATATCGAACAGCCCTAGTCCAGGGTGTACCCTGCTTCTCGCCCGAGTAACCAGGGAGCAAGCTCAGGATGCAGAGCAGGTCATCCACCAATTGCAAGGTTGGTGGTTCGAATCCTTGGCTAGTCCAGCCTGCATGTTAAAGTATTCTTGGGCAAGATACTGACCCCCAAGTTCCTCTCAGCTTCATCCATCAGAGTATTAATTTAGTTAGAAACCACTTAGGGACAGAAATAAGTGCTTGTGTGAATGAGGCATGTTGTATAGAGTAGAAAAGTGTTATAAGAACCAGTCCATTTAGCATTTTTAAACATACAGATTTAACTGGGGGACATAAACAGTCCTCTTCAGAAAGCAGGACCGTTTGTTGGAGTGTCTCACTAACAGGGTGACTGACACAAACTACAAGGTAGTGAAGCTTACTGCCAACAAAAAAACAAAAAGTAGGTAGGTGCCATGTGAGGTCCAGCTGCTGCAAATATACCCTCAAACTATCAAAAGTGTCCATTTATTACGAGTGGGAAATTCCAAACTCAAATGCTCACTGTGGGATAAGTAGTTTTCCCCAATCTGAATCTGTGTCTTCGAAGCCATTTCCCCGATGGGACTACAAGTGTGCCAATGTTGGCTCTTTAACTGATTTTAACATCGAAATCCTGCACTCATGTTGTTCGCCAATTTAATGGCTAATGAGGAAGGGACGTGTTTTGAGTCATACTGCAGCTGTAAGCTATATTAAGTTGAAAACGTAATATATTTGTTGGGCAATGCTACAGATAAGACTTTATGACTGGATAACCTACATTGTGCTCGTAGTTACATCATAATGCTGCCAACTAAACGGGCCACGCATAACAACTGAAGTGCTGATGAACAGAGTAAAAACACCTGACAGCGACATTGCTTTGTTTTGGTGTCTTTGTTCTGGCAGTTAACACATCACTCAACAGCAACACAAACGCAGGGTAAAAAAACCCCCCCCAAAACATAAAGAGTCCAGTTTTTGAAAATGTAAGAAATCCGCCTCTTATTATCCATCAAAAACTGTCGGGTTGTCAGCGATAATTACTCTGAGACTGAATGAAAGGAGTTCAATTCATTTCTGCTAGCTAACCGTACCGTGTACTGTCTGCTAACGTTAGCATGCTAATCTGCTCGTTAACTTGGTCTTAATTGAACCGTTTTTCCAGGAATTTAGCTTAACCATTTAGAAAACCTGTTGCTTTCCGGTGACAAGTCTAACGACGACAAGGAGTACAAAATGATACGACAGCGAGACAAATTATTTGGCTGTCTTACCGTCTTACTACACTCCCTGCTCGCCACAGTGGGACGTATAGTACGTAAAAGCACGTGTAAATGACGCGATCACGCACTAGTGGCACGGTTTACGTACGTCTGCCTGGCGTACGCTGGAGAAGACGGTTATTTCGAAAACACATTTTGTCATTAAGCTCCTTTTCTGTATTGACATTTAATCAACAATCATTTGATTTTAAAACCAGTGCAGCCTATGACTGCGCAGTGTAGCTTCTTACAGTTCGACTTAGATTAGATTTTGAACCGCCGATCTTCTTGGATTAAGTCTTAAAGGCTGTAGTTATTTTATCTTAATCCACAAGTGTACTGAGCTACTCCACATTTCTTTATCATTTGCTAGGAAACATTGTGTAGTCATATATCGATATGTGCAAACATACATAGAAATAGAGTATATAACACAAGGTTTTTAGTGTTGTATATTATGGTTTGTACAATTCTAACGAGCTTGAAAGTGAATATTTGGTATGAGCAACTTTATTTTTCAACACAGTTTGAACTTAGGCAGATTTTATGTAATTTCTTCAAGTTGTCTGCAGGAATAGTTCTCCAAGACCGTTAAAGGCATAGCTGGACTGGCCATCGGGCATACCGGGCATTTGCCCGGTGGGCCGCTGGCGATTTTTTGTTTTTATGGGCCGATGGATTTTTTTTTTTTTTTTTAGGAAGGGTATATATAATGAAAGGTGTTGGATTGGCCAATTGGTGATGATCGACTCTGGGCTGGACCAATTACAGCCGAGGAGGCTGGATGCACCCTCCCCCTTGTTTAGCAATCACGTGATTTTCGCGCATTGCATGCCGGGAACTCGTGGCAAAACAATCCAAGTACAGCATCAAATGCAAGCATTTGCAGCACCGCAAAACGTTCATTCTCCGGTTCCAATACCTTCTTTTTTTTCTTTGCCGCACAAAAAAGGAATGTACAAAACAAAAGGAGAACAATGCTGGTCCGTACAAAGACAGACTCGACGAAAAGACAAACAAAAGATACGAGGAAAAAATCAAAGGAGTGAAAGGGTCAGATCCTTACACAGAGGGACAAAAGACGTCAGTGTGCTGCCCAACTTTCACGGTTCTTGGAGTGAGCGCATACACTCATGAAGTTTAGTAACTTCAGGTCACTGCAACAAGCCCAGGTACAGTTTACCGACGGATGGGTACAGGACCTTGAAATGCACCGTGTAGAACGAAAGACTATTGTACGTATCATAAGTTTACCAGTCTCACAAATCGTCTTCATAAATACACATTCATTAACAGTTTATTAATAGGACCTTTGAGCTCAACGGTAATTTGAGCTGGTAGTGTAACAGTGTTTATGTGGTATTATTCCACTTGCCACAAATATCACTGTCATGGGGAAACAGCGCCCTCTCCCCCCCCCCCCCCCCCCCCCCCCCCCCTCCTCTCAGTGTGGCTGGTTAGGTGAGGCTGGCTGCAGTAATCGCTGCCAGTCTGCCGTAGCCATACGAGAGGTGAGTTGTATTGTTCCGCACACAATATAGCTAAGTAGTACAGACACATAAAACATGTTTGATTAGCTGACGGGCACCGAGTGTAATAAGTGCTTAGTGGACACATGTCCAACACCAGTTTTATGTACTTTTCATTTGTTTATTAATGTGTGAAACTGTATGCTAAAGCGGAATGCTAATGAGATGTTCTGCCGTAGTGTGCTGTGCGGAGTGGTGTGTGGCGAGCCTGTGCACTGATAATACACCGTTGTTTCCATTCAGGTACATCATTTGTTGTTGCTGTTATTTTATTGTATATTCGAAATTGTAATATTGCTGCAGTAATCGCTGCCAGTCTGCCGTAGCCATACGAGAGTGTGCTGTGCGGAGTGGTGTATGGCGAGCCTGTGCACTGATAATACACAGTTGTTTCCATTCAGGAAATAAAGTGGCAACGATCGATCAGAGACTCCTTGTCTTTTTAAAAACACTACACAACGCAGAGTCGAGGAGTCTGTTTGGGCCGAACTGTTGCAGCGGGATGAAGCAGAAACCGGTTACAGTAGCATTACAGAAATGTAGCAGTGACAATAATATTGTATGTTGTAATCGCAATGGACAATTAGTGATACAAAACAACTGTTTTATCCTGTGAATAAAAATATGTTTTTGTCAATGTACCATGGTAATAACAGAAGCGAAACGTAATATTGTGTCAGGACAATTCACTATTTATGCACAATAAATAAAGGAGCATAGCGCGACAACTTCTGTTCAGTGCCAGACTTCCTTGTAACCTGTCACCAATTATGTTTAAAGAAAAATGACACATTAACTACTACAAAACTCTGACCTTTGTGGGAATGCTTGGAGCAGACTAACCTGTGAGCTGGAGTGTTCTGAGACGTTATATTTGGTATATCCAGGCCATCCGTAGGCTCTTACTTCGGAAACATGGCTTAAAAAATTTCTCGTCAACGACGTAATCGGATAAAAAAAAAAGATCTCTTTACCCGTCGGCTTCCTGTGGCTGTCATGCGACCGGCTGTTGCAGTCAATAATACAACAGCTTCTTGGCATTTTTTGGGTTTCTTTTTATCGCTGTGTAACTGAGTTCAATTGAAAGCCTGCGTGCGCTAGTACCTCTTGCCACAAGTTCCCAGAATCCTTTGCGGTTTTATCCCTGAATGACGTCACATTTATCCTGGTGGGCCGGTCTCTAGTCAAAATGCCCGGGCCGATTTTTTGTCCCAGTCCAGCCTTGGTTAAAGGACATTCTAAAGCTTTTCTATGGATGCTGGTTTTAGTGCAATTTCAAATACCTCACCCTTTTTTCATGTTGGCATCTTGACAGCTACCACTGAGACCATTTCTGATGAGGCTTCAGCGAACAGTAGATGCATCAAGTGAAGGGACAGATACACCTTTCAGGTCTTGTGTCAAACCATTGCTGGACACCCACCTCCAATTTCTTAATGACCTATCTTTCAGGTACTGTTCATTTACTCCAGATGTTTTTGTGAGCCTGCCACTTCTTCTTTTCTCCTCTACTTGTCCAGTTTTCTCAGTGCTGAGATATGCAACTTTTTTTTTTTAGCTAATTGCGTTCTGGGATTCAGCTTGTTGGTGCAAAAATACTGCTTTGTGCGTGTGAAACTAACAACTTTTGTAACTTCAGCTAAAGAAATGAGAACAAATTATGTTTTTATTACCCGCTGCTACTAACAAAGTGCCTAAACATACATGTTTTCTTTGATAAACCTAATATGTGTACACACAACAGTGTTTCATCCCTTGATTTATGTTTCTTTTTTTCATGTATAAATTATATAATAATATATGAGAAAAGAAGGTTGACAAAAAATGGCTAGGTTAAAAAAAAAGAAGAAGACTGGACTGAAAAGGAGTAAAAAATCAGCCAGTGTCCAAAGAAAAGCTTTGAAGGACCCTCAGAAAACCTGGAGAATGACTGCTCAAGACCACTTTAAACACAAATCTGAGTCGCCCCAGAGTTTATTACAAAGTAAAAATAAACTCTCGGGTGGCTCAGGACTTTTGTACAGTACTGTAGATATTAGATATAAGAATTTAGAAACCAGGGTAGCTAAAGTATATACACAGTATATACACACAAAAAAAAGAAACAAAAAGATTGTACTGTGAGGCTAAAATCAGTCTTTGCAATTGATATCCTGGATGCATCTTAGGCCTAATATGTATAAATAATTTATATTAAACACCATCATAAAAAAACATAAGACACATCTTGGGAGAAACTTGAATAACGTCTCCTGAAAAACGACATAAGCTGCAAAGTTTAATGTTTAATTCTTTCCCTTTTTCAAAGCATCAATAAAAAAAGAAAAATGCAAGCCACTTCAAAATGTACTTTTAATGTCTGCTTAAAAGGCACAGTAGGCAGCTTTGAGCAGGACAACAATTTAACAACAAACATTACAGAATCATAAACTAAAACTTTGATCTATCATATAAAATCTAAAAAATTTGCTCCAGGAACAAAATACATTTGCATAAAACAAACAAAACACATTCACAGCCGGTATAATGACATGAACACAAATAGGGAGACAGCTTAAAGTTTGGCTGTTTAGTTTTACTACATAAAATCCTTCTACAGAATATATCGGTATGATGAAAAAAAAAACAAAGAAACATTTAGGTTGTAGTGTCAAATGTGATTGAATGTGAACACCTGCTTAACAGATAAGGTACCTACTGCTGGTATATAGTGCTGGTAAATCCAGCAATTTAGTGTATTTTCACTGCTTTCAGAACAGGCAGATCTAAATAAACTACTTTTATTTTCTAGAGACCATAACTAGCACATTCTGTCAAATTAAGACATAAATTATGGCTTAGGAACAAATTTGACAAGATTCCCAACTATAGATTGTTTATTTATAGCATATTAGTGTTTGATATGCATAGAAAATATAACAGAATCCATTTTTTCTAAATCTGTGTAAATTAATTTCCATCATTCCAATGGATAACTTATTCCTATTACATTCAGTGACATATGGAGGATCTAATTCTATCAGTATATCTAAAATTCAGTAAGGCATTGCAGGATTTATATTGAGTTTTTTGTCATTCCTGTGATATAGTATGTTGTGTGCGTTTACTGGTTTCTTTATGTGCACATGCAGAAGTATTTATGACACCAATGATAAGGCTTCCTGTTCAAAGCCTCGGCATGCAGAGACGAGATGGAGACCTTGAGATAACTAGAACTATGTTACCTCATGCAGAAGCGGCCCGCTTTTCAAAAGAAACACTCGATTGACTCGTGACTGGATTCAGAAGTTGTCCACACTGTGGCAAGAGTAAAAGAGGAAAGAAGATGTGATCTTCACTCAGAAGCGGACACAGCCACTAGTTTCTTCTGAGCTGTCAAAGTCGCTTCCTTCGCACAGGGACTCCTTCAAGAAACGAAAAGAAAAAAAACCCTCAGTGACATTCACAAGTCAGTTTTCTGCAGCAGCACATTCTCAACTAACAAGCCACTAACAGCGACATAGTCCAGAAGTTGTGTTTTGAGACAGCTCCATTAGTATTTTATCAATATCTAATTAAGGTTTAATTAT